TCCACTTAGTCTTGGAGAAACATCATTTTAAAGAGACAACGTACATTAATAGCTACCGATTCAATGGGTTTCGAATGTATGGTAAACTGGAATCTCGGATTATTTAGCGTCGTAGTATATACACTCTTTCGACGAGTGAAACATTTAGTGCAATGGAATAATCTCAATGTTTTGTGTATGAGCATTGAATTTGATTATTCTGGGTCGTAAAGAATGAAATTTTTACAAGAAAACAGTCTCATAATAAGTCAGTAACACTAAAACTGTCTAAAAAAACTAGAAAAGTCAAGTCTATACTTCAGATTAGTCATCCTAACACTAAAATTTTTTATAGGTGTCATTACCAAGGTTTGATTTGATAATTTCGAATAAATTGAGCATTGGGTTGATTGTTATAAATAAAAATAATATATTTGTAATATCCCAATGAGTAGAAAATTGGATTTTTTTTCTGACGTTTCGTGACTTAGTGTAAGTCACTTCTTCAGAGAATAAATAACCAAACGTCAGAAAAAATCCAATTTTCTACTCATTGGGATATTACAAATATATTATTTTTATTTACTAAAATTTTTGTTATTTTACAAGCAATCCTAAATTAACATGCTATAATTTTACACGAAAAACTAGCCTTAAATCTGACCACTTTCAGATTATCAATTTGAAATAACTGTGGAGTCTGAAAAGAATTTATTGGAAAGAATACTCGTCTTCCATACACGTGGTTTAAATGATTAATTGTAATTATCTAACACCGGAGGTTCGTCAATCAAGAGTAAACATTTTAATCGAGGTTTCATGTACATATTATATACTTACATCATGTATATGTTAACCGATCATATGCAATAAAGTTGGTGTAAACCAACTGCAGCTATGAGCTTTATACTGAGAGCAATGCAATCTATCCTGTCGTGTAATTGTTACAAAACCTGGACAGCAGCTCAGTGCACTATTATTACATATAACTATACAGACGATTATCAATACAGAAAACCTTTTATTGATACCAAATGAAGAAGTTTGACTGGTTTTGTAACAAAAGGCAGTAAAGAAAGCACAAGAAAAATTTGAGAAATATAAAAACGTCTTACACCTAACTATTCTACTCGATTCAAGTACTTCGAAATAACCTTGTGATTTAATTTTTATATATTAAGCGTTTTGCCTAACGAATTAGAAAACAATAATAGACAAAATTATTGAATCCTATATTCAAATTAAAATGTAGATGTAGACGTTATAGCCAAGTTGATTAAGATAAGACGGACCTTATTTTAATAATTATACATAAGCCTATTTAAATAATATAAAAAGAGCAAATATCTGGTTGGAATTTTGTGAACTAGATGAAATGTTACTAAAGAAAAGTGTGTTCCCCAAAAAGTAGCTGAGATTTTATTTAGTTAAACATAAACATTGGTACAAGGAGGCACCATATAGATAGGCGCCAAATAAATTAGTCGATTTGTGTGAGGGCTGGGATACCGACCGGGTGGCCAAGCCGGGGCAGGTAGTTCTCTTAGGGAACCACACCCGGAGCCTTCGATCTGGAAGTCTGATCGACAAGGCAGTGGAGCAACGTCAGAAGATGCAGTCCCATGGTAGCCGGTGACCAACGATTGGTTCATATGCCATTTGTTCTTTCTAGATGCTGGAGCCCATATGCACTATTGTTTCGGAATCAGGGTTTTCCATATCCCCTAGGTGGACTCTCCGTGCCCACCAACCCGGTTAAAGCACCGGACATTCGCTTTGTCTCCTCAATTTCGTAAACAACACCCCTGGCGCAAGAAGGCAGTGAGTGGGACTTTCCAGGCAGTGATTGTATGCACGTGGCCATGTGAGAGCATTTCAAGAAGGAGGGCTGAGTCTCCCCATTCCTGACCGTACTCGGACATTTGAGGACCTGAAAATTGAAAACAGATCTTAGTGACAGAGTAGTTGTCTTTCATAGAGTCAAGGAGTGAAAGCTAAAAACTCAGAAGTATTGAGCATGACATTGAGTCGATAAAAGAGCTACTAGACCAGCTAATGCCTCAGGATATCCCTGCAGTCACCTTGCTAAAGGTTTACAAACTGGGTAGCCAAAAGGACTTGAAACAGAATCACACCAGGTTGTTAAAAGTAGTATTTAAATCTCTAAATGAAAGAGACTTAATACTACAGAATGAGCACGCGATAAATGGGTCAGGACATTTTGTCCGTAAAGAGTTGCCGCTCGCAGACCGTATAAAAAAACGAGAAGCTAAAAAAGAACTAAAACTAAGGTTAGATGCTGGCGAGAACGACCTAAAAATTGTAAGTTTTCGGGTTGTGAGGCTTCGACAGGGAATGATGCCAAAGCCACTTTGGGTGAAGTACGAAGCCATTTAAATGGTCCTCGAACCTGTTACACGAATGCCCAGAGCTTGCTCAATAAGCGATCAGAGATAGGTGTACAGATAGACCCTACCAAGCCGCCCGTAGTCGCAGTCACAAACACTTGACTTATTCAGTTTATGGACAGCACGGAGCTTGATTTTGAAGGTTTCACATTAGTAAAAGACGACAGAATCAAGAAGTGTAAAGGAGGATTGATTAGGATTCATTAAAAATACCATTCCATTTACCGTTATTGACAACTGATCCCATGGAAGTGGGACGTCTGAGTTAATTTGTTGTCCTTTGAAGAAAGCTGCTGATTGGCTTGGCATACCACAGCCCAAACTGTGAGGTAAATGAGGTTTTGTTAGATGGTTTCAACACATGGTCACAAAGTGGTTGGTGTTTAATCTTAGGAGACTTTAACGTATCTACGTTAAATTGGAAGAATCTGAGAACGGAACTGTGAGAAAATTCCTTCGGACAGAAACTAGTTGATGCGGTTATCACATGTGCCCTAATGCAACATGTAAAAGAAGCGACTAGGTACGATCTAGACTCCGAACTATCCTCATTGACCGATTCAGTCAGCCAGCCACAACGTAGGACCAAGTTGTCACACCTCATTAGCACAACAAGATGGCCACCGAAAGATTGTGCGTAAGGATATAGTACAGGGAGAAAAATTAACTGGCAGAAGGAAAGATATAAAGAAGTATGAATGAGGTCTAGAATGCTGTACGAAGAAAAACTGAGTTTTCTTCCTCTGAGCTGGATAGTATGGTCTTGGAGCTTCAATCGTTATTATGAACATTATCATCACAAACTTCAGGTAAAAGAGAAAACTTCAGAGAACAAAACTGCATCAAAATCATCCACCTGAGTTACAAACCTCTTCTACTATCTCAGAAGAAAAACTTGCTAAGGAATCCACCAAATACCTTAAACTTGTAGATAAAACAAAGGAATAAGAGACGAAATATTTCAGCAATATCGGGAGACAGTAGTACTGCACCATTGGTTGAGGACGAATATGGTAAAGCCCAGGTATTCTCAAACTACTTCAGAAGTGTATATACCGTAGAGACATGGTCCCCTTCAGTTCATACAATCCTCCCTACACACACTGGGCATTGTGACCATTTGAGAACTCGATGACTTTGGTCTGCTAAATGAACTTGATATAGGCAAATCTATATGACCCGATGAAGTTTATCCTAGGTTACTTAAAGAATTAGCACATTTCGTAGCAAATCCCTTAAGAATATTCTTTAATCTATCTTTAAGACTGGAAGAACTCCATAGTCCTGTCTTAAAAACAGGTACGAAACAAACCGGAAGAGTATCGGCCCAGCGTGGTCGTTAAGATTTCAGAAAAGATTATTCAGAAGTTGTTTAAGGACCTAGACGAAAACAGGATTCTTTCTAAAAAGCAGCATGGCTTTAGAACAGATTATTCCTATTTTGTTAACTTATAAGTGGCTCGTGAAAGTTGGTGCGCTATTATAGACAAAAAGTTATCTATAGATGTAACCTGCATTGACTCCAACAAAACTTCTGACAACATCCCTAACAACCGGCTGTTATATATGTTAAGTAATATGGGGGTTTGTGGCAATTTGTTAATGTGGATAAAGGACTTCCTAGGTGAGCGTCAACAAAGAGTATGGGTGAACCCGTCGTCCAGCTGAAAAACTGTGCTTAATCGAGTGCTTTAAGGCACAGTTTTGGGGCTAGTGTTATTCCTCTTGAATATAAGTGACCGTCACAGTCTCCTATCATCGGTTTAGTCATACGCTGACGATTTATCGATTAAAACACAGGGATGATACGACGCACCAAATAGATATGCGCCACATAAACTATTCGATTTGCGCGAGGGCTGGGATATGACCGAGTGTCCAAACCGGAGTAGGTAACAGGCCACATTAGTTTACTGCCATTTCTCTTACCAAGATGAAAAATGAGTAGATGGAATGGTTAAGGTCAACATAAAGAAAATACCGATTGGCAACTACCACTGCCATGAACGAGATGAAAAGCTAGTTATCATACAACAGACATGACAAAATAGTGAGTACTGTTTGAGCGAGATTCAAGATTGACCGAATCTAGCCAGACCCAAAGTCGAATGAACTACACCAAAGTTTGGAGAACTTTGGGGCAATTCCGGGGAATTTTAGCCAAATCCCCAAGGTAAAATGACCCTCACTAAGGTTAAAGTAAATTTTGGGGCCATTTCCTCAAAGTTTAGAATAGCAGCTTCCCCAAAATGGGTGAAATTTTCCCCACAATTAGGAGCTCGGGGATCGTCCGTTTATCGTTTGGCTATACAAAAATGTCAAGCCCGTTAATTTTTCTAGGAATACAAAGATAGTTTCCTGATAAAAAAAAGATGATTTAAAGTTAAGCAGTACATGACACTGGTTGATAAAGCAACACGCAATTACCCAGTTAGGCGTACAACATTGAAGCCTGCAATCAATAAGTAGCGTCAAATTTGAATAACCGGTTCTACTTTCTACATATTAAAACAAGTACGTTTTTTAATAAATTGGTTCAAAAGTTTTTGGACTTCATTGTATTTAAATAATCAAAATTTAGTTTATCTGAATTTTGAGGTACTTGTAATGTCTGCCTCGTTCTAGGACGATATGTGTCAACTGGAGTTGGTTTTCCGCTTTGATTTCTCGTGAATAAAAAGTATTTGCTGAAGGTAACCTACCTAAGCTATTGATTTTTTTTGCGCAAAGCCTTTACCTATAGTGTCTCAGATAATATTTTCGTTTCTAGCGTTTCGACTAAGTAAAATTTGATGTCTTACTTGTGGACTAGATGGTAGATGGTTGCGATTTTGTAGATTTTCATTTGCCTTCACAAACTGGCATCTGTATATTCAGAAAACCCATGTCTTTTCCTGTTTCCGCGATTAAATTATTGGGATATCTTACGGTTTTTTCAGTCTCATCCAGTTAAGAATCTTGTGAGTGCTCATAAACTAATTATGGATTTCTTACTTTTTTAAGATCCTTGAATAGTCTTGAATACCTGTAACCAAAAGTGGCGGAACGTTCACATCTACCAGATTACTGAGATCTGATTTTTGTTAGCTTCTTGTGCAAACTAAATCTCCATTTTTAGCCTCATTGATGCCATTCTCCACTGAACATTCCTCGCTCGATATATACAGGTTCTTATCGTCCCAATATACCAGTAACTGGTGACATTTTTGCTACCAACTTCCAGTCATATTTTGACACTAACTTCCAATAATACAAACATTCTTCAAGTTTCTTTATCGACTTTGGCGTCTGCGTTGCAGCTTGACAATTTGCTATGATAAAGCGAATGTATATATATGGCTTTTTACCACGTTTATTATGGGGACTAGTTATGCTTCTAAGCTCCACATACCAAAGTAGATGAATCAGGACTCAAGACTGCTCTAATTTGGTTGAATACAACGTGAATAATTGCCCAGTGGTCATCGTGTTACGTAGCTCTTAAATAACTTATTTCCTCAGCTTGGATTTTGCTAGCTTTGTTCCTATAAGTAGTCATCATATTTGGCTACACCAAGCGTTTACATGTCCTGATAGATTTTACCCCATCAATCTCGTACTCCAAAAATCTCTTGATGTTGCGGGTCAGTTAATAAAAGTTATCTCTAAATAGTAGGGTGACATAGGAAACGTATAAAGTCCCAACACACTATGCTTTCAAAGAAGTACTCATTTTCCACCAAAATTTCTATCAATAGTATCATTTGTACAAATACGGTCTATGCTTTTATCCAATTCAATACAAACAGACGTTGGTAAAATTGCTATTTTACATCGTTGCACTTATTTGCATAAATGTTATCAGTAAAGACGAAATAGGGCTACTGAACGAAATATAGACAGAAAATGAAAATCACTGCTTCAAATCATGGTCTTCTTACCTCAGTTTACGGAATTTAATTGCATTCTGATACATAAATGTGTGCACAACCATCGATTTATCTCTGTATACTCGAACTAATATTTTCTTGATTTATATGGTGTGAATCCATAGTGCTTCCACATATGTGACGGTAATTAAGATTTAAAACTATTTGAACATTTTTCGGTTGTCCGATAACATTTAACTATAACCTAACACTAGTGTGGTCTGTAACATTCGCTCAACTAATAATTAACAACTTAGAACCCGGCACAAATGTGCATCGGTTAAAATTTTCACATATCATAACCCAACCTCGCGCAGTGTGTGCGAACTAAACCAAATCTCACTCAATGACTAGACGAGTAAGGCCTGATTTCTCTGGTTTATAATGCATTCTAATTCTTGTCCCATTTTACAGCGTTGTATACTTGTCACATCTATTCTAGTCAAACATAAAAAAAGTTGTATCAAATCATTAGTCTAAAGGCTAGTTTTCAAGTGGAGTGTCATTACATGTGCTCCAGTCTTGGCTACTACCTAATATCATCAGCCCCTAAATTGTGTAGCTGATACCGTAATGTATGAGTGTATACTTTATATTGCTTTGGAACCGTATTATTACATCGCGAAGTAGTAGATACTCCACAAAGCGTGGTTTTTTATAGATCTTTCCAAAGTAGTTTAGGAAGATGCCTATTCCCAAATTCTTAGCTTTAATACTATTGAAGTGGTTTTTCTTCAGTTTGTATACAAACTTTTGCATATGTTGGTTACCATTATTATTGCTAATGAATTCAGTTTACAGCGATTTCCTTAATTTGAATGATTCTTTAGAGTGTAGCAAGATAATAACTCTGATATCAACCCACGACCATTTCATATATCTTTGTATTGGTGTAAGTGTTCGCGCTGGTGTTACTAACGAAATCTGTGTATAGCGAAGGCTTGTAAGATGGTGGTTGACGGTAATTTACAGGGAGCCCTCGACATAGGTTTTGTACTAAAAACTCGTTAGAAAAATGTACTTGTAAACTTGAAGGAATTAATACCCCTCAATAGATTTGGCCTTCTGTATTCCAGGTTTACAGTTAGAAACGTTAATACCGGGTTGTTCAGGCCATAAATGACCGCCCGTGGGGTTGAGATATACCTACAACTGACTGGTCACTGAGTAGTGATCAATGTTATGCACATCAAGTCTTTCTTACTGCTGATCGATAGAATCAATACGAACCGCCTGTAACACCATTAAAATGTTGACCTGTTCATACAAAATCTAATGTGTAACGCCCCGTTGAAAGGGGACCCTAAAACATGCATCAACTACTTCACTTTTCACGAGCTGGTGGTAATGGCACATTGTAATAAATGTAAAATGCACCTAAACGTTTTCAAATCTCGCTATTCGTTCTGTCTACGTCAAAGCGATGGTTTAGTAGTTTAAGGACAAATACTCGTTATCTTCTATCCTAAACCTTTCTTGATCGTTGTTTCTGAGCACCTCGATGGTGTCGTTATCCTTCTCAGGAAGTTTTGCTCTTTGAGTGTCACAATCCATTCTCTACAAATTAGTTACACTACCAAAGAATAGTTCACTGTATTATATGACTAGTTTCAAACAACAAACTTTCAAGTTCCAAATATTTGATTATAGTTGCTTTTGAAACGTTAAAGCCATTCAGTTAATAACACTGACGTTAGTTGCATAGTACCAGATAAATTTGGTAAATTGTTTTGTAGATTTCCGAACCATGAGTAGTAAAAGTGGTTGGCATATTATTCACACATACTTAGCCAGCACCCATACCGTCTCATTATGCTAGTTGGCACGATATCTCATTCGTTTCTTTTGTCTTGATTTTCCATTTTTGTTAGCATTATGATAATTTTCACTCTTTCTTTTCCGCTTTGTTAATAATCCTTCTATATCATAACAGAAAGATCTAGGAATTTGAACGAATACACATTGTTTATCAGCTCTTAAGATCTTTGCATCTTTTAATTACGACGGAAGTGATACATTTCTGTCTCATATTATAGATTGTTCAGTCTTTCTACCTATCCAGATTTATTAACCACGGTCTTTTCAGTGTTTAATCCAAATGACTCAAAAGCACTATACCATTAAAAATATGTACGGCTCAGAATCGATCACAGTGGCATCGGCGTATACACTCTCTGTCTTCCCTTAAACTAAGAGATTAAAATCGCTTCATATCTTTCTTTCTACGAACTTTTTCTTTCATCCTGTACTATATCCTTATATGCAATTTTTCTTTTATATATTACCACCTCTGAATTAACTACTTTTATGACTCCGGTGTTCATCTTGTTGTGTTAATGAGGTATGCCAACTTGGGTCGATGCATATATGTACCTGGTCCTACGTTGTAGCTGACTGACTGACATACGGCTAGCTGTATAATTGTTGTACTCGTTAGTCTATTGCAACAACAGAAATAGTCGATCAAAAACTAACATGTATCACTCAAATTGTATTTTAGATATAGGCCTACCCATTGTTCACAATTATTTGGCTTTAGTTTACATCTTGTTATTAACTCTGATGATTTTGGAAAAATACCAAATCTTTTTGACGTACTAAAGTACCAAAGTATTCCTGTTTTTATAAGGTAAAGCTTTGGTGCTATGTGCTTCTGCTTTCTAAACTACGCTCACTGTTTGAGTGGTTTTTGTAATTTTTCACTTAAAGTAGCTGTCTAAGTTTTTACGTATTTTAACCACTTTGATTTAATTAAAATTCTTTGTTCTATGTTTCGTCATACATACCATCATTACATTGTTAAAGCCTGTTCACTGTTAGAATTATAAAATACGCCTTTTTACTGTTTGAAACTGTGATCAGCCACTAATTAACATACAGCTCTTAAAATCACTTTTGATTCGCTATGAATCATTTGAAATTTCTCATAGCATTTACTTAGCTTGCTTGTTTCTCATGCTTCATAATTGCTAGTTGTTAAGCCAAGCTGTTTGTTGTCTGAAGAACACTGCAACAAGTAAGCAACCATACATGCTCATTTTCGAAGTTCGATGGTGCTTATTGTATGGTAATTTATGTATTTATCCAGCTCGTATAACAGACTTATTTTTAGTCACTGATGCTTTCATTAGGTTTTTTTAATTGTTGTGATAGCATTCAAACGAAAGTCACAGCTGGTATCAGCTCAACTTATATATATATATATATATATATATATATATATATAATTAGAAATTTATTGAGAATAGATTCTTTTTAAGATATTACTACAACTCATTTACGTTACTCATTTCTCTATCATAGGCTACATATTTTTGTCGCCAGTTCATGTTATATGTTATGTGTACTGCATGATCTCTTCTGCACAGATTCATTCTGGCGTTGGATCGATGGCCACTGCTGCTCTGGCTCCAGTGGCTGCTCGTCCACCTTCCAGGTCAGATCAACAACATAATGGAAATATCCAAGAACCTAATCGACCTTTACGTTGGAGAGTGATTGACGACCAACCACATGTTGGAAAATACAGGTTTATACGAACTATAGGCAAGGGGAATTTCGCCAAAGTCAAATTAGCGAGTCATGTTATTACGGGACAACAAGTCGCTATCAAAATTATTGATAAAACCCAGTTAAGTCCTTCAAGCCGTCAAAAGGTAATTGTTTATCCTTTCAGTTTCATTCAATAAATTAGCTTTTCCGAGAAGTTAGACTGATGAAATTGCTGGACCATCCAAACATCGTAAAACTATTTGAAATTATTGACAACGATAAGATTTTATATTTGGTAATGGAATATGCCAGTGGTGGTAAGTTTTTAATTACTTTTCCTCTAGGTTATATAAAAATACCCCTCTCATCATACTACATTTATACACTTACTTAGTCATAAGTTTTGTGATTGCTTGGCCTATTTACTTATTTTACGAACTAATTTGCTTGAGACGATTTACTACAATAACGTATTCGACGATTCATTTATAGACGTAATTTTACCCGCTTGAAGATGGTATTTAACTCTATGTTGTGGTTGTAATCGAACCATGTACTACATTTTGAGGGTTTATGAATTCGGTCCGAATTATCGTTATTTTTCTATTCCATTTGTGGTAAGACAAACGTTGGTTTCACGACCACAACCAATTTAACACATTTTACCGATTTCTGACTTGGTATTCTGTTTCGTCATTTATATACAAATGTCGGCTTATTAGATAGAAACTATTAGTTTACATTATTATATTTTGATTGTTGAATATTTATACTACTTAGAGTTGAAGATTCTGCATACTACTAAAATTACCAAGCAGTTCTATTATTCCGTACTTATTTCTGATTTTCCTATAAGATTTTGGCTGTATCAGAATCCTTTTAGTTAACGTTGTTAAATAAATAGATTATGAATAACGAAACTTTACCATATTTTTGTTACCAATCACTCCGGCTTCCTCATCTAAAGCAATGATCGGCTAGTTTCCCGAATATCTAAGAATAACCATAAACAATTCTCCCACCAACTTGCTGGATAATAATTAACAAATAGAAGTCTCTCGATACTTACATTCTTCTAAGAAACAGTCTTCTCTAACCTTTTAGCACACCACCTATCATTGCTTCGTTTTTTCGCATTCGTTTTTTAGGTGAGGTTTTTGATTATTTGGTTGCTCATGGAAGAATGAAAGAAAAAGAAGCACGGGCTAAATTCCGTCAAATTGTTTCTGCTGTTCAGTACTGTCATCAAAAACATATTATTCACAGAGATTTAAAAGCCGAAAATCTCCTTCTTGATGCCGATATGAACATAAAACTGGCTGATTTTGGCTTTTCTAATGAATTTAGTCCAGGCACGAAATTAGATACTTTTTGTGGAAGTCCTCCTTATGCAGCCCCAGAACTATTCCAAGTACGTTTGACGTGATATTCTTCAGATTTTGTTGTCACTGGAAAGTTTTTGCTTACTCTTGTACAATAACATAAATTTCTCATCCTTTTTTCCACAAAACTACTATTTAGGGTAAGAAATATGATGGTCCCGAAGTTGATGTGTGGTCGTTGGGTGTTATTTTGTACACATTAGTCAGTGGGTCCCTTCCTTTCGATGGTCAGACACTTAGAGAATTGCGTGAACGTGTTCTACGTGGCAAGTATCGCATCCCGTTCTACATGTCAACAGACTGCGAAAGTTTGTTGAAGAAAATGTTGGTCCTTAATCCAAGTAAACGATACACTTTAGAGGTTAGTTACTTTAATCACTGTGCATGACTTAATGAGTCATAATTTGGTTCTATTAAACTATTATTTATGAAGTATTTGAGGAATTGTAAACGTCCTATATTTACATTTTACCAATAAATTAGATGGTGATGAAAGATCGTTGGATGAATACTGGTTATGAAGATAATGTATTGTCACCGTACATAGAACCCGAACCAGATTACACTGATCCTGTACGTATTGAGATTATGGTCAATATGGGCTTCAGTCGTGACGAAATAGAGAAGTCTTTAACTCAAGGAAACTTTGACGACATAATGGCTACTTATCTCCTCCTTGATAGAAGACGTTCTTCACTTGATACAAGTTCACGTGATGGTTCAAGTCTTTCTTTAAGGTAAATCTACCATTAGTAGTTATTTATGAAATTTACAATTAACAACTTAGTTTTGACAACCTGATTGTTCTTTTCAAACAATTTAATGATGTTCGAGGTTCTTTGCTGACTATATATGTCAAGGTTTCCAGAGCTCCCTAGGGTATCAATAGTTAGCCATCATTTGACCTAGCACATAGAACTATACTAACTAAACTTCAACTATTTGGTCTGAACACAGACGAAGATCCAGCAAACCAATTATTCCAAACTATTTTCTTCTGTACAGTGTACGAGGCTTGTCTAAGTCACTTGTATTCAACAATTATGCGAAAACACAAATTTTTTGTGTTCACGTCAAAACAATTGCGTCATAAGATAGATTAGTTGATCTAGAATATAATTGTAGTACAATCGTTTTTGTAAGTCTTATGCAATGTAACTAACTGAAAGCTACACGTAGCTTAACTCTACAGTTAATCCGACTCATTCATTCTTAATTCTTTAAGAGGTGCTTCACAAAATGGACAAATGTTGTAATAAGAATAAAACAAATAAGTAATGCTTGTTGATATCTGATCTGGTATGATTCAAAGATGTACTCCGATTGGTCACATAACAGTTATCTTTTTTATTCTACTTTTCTGGATTATAAAGCATTTTTGTCATTCGTTATGGTAAATTGGATAAATATTATGCTCACATCAACAACTATCTCTTATTGCCTGACTAGAATAAATTTTTCTTTAAGTAGTCACTAAGAATGGAAGCTTTTATAAATAATTAAAGCGACGGAAGTTCATTGTCAATAAACTATAATTGAAGATATTACTTTATCTAAAGTTGGTTTGTTTTTAATTACTATTAAAGTAAATTGTGAATGATAAATATGCAGCCAACTAGGTGTTATTCTTGTTAAGCGTTTTCCAACTAATAATTAATTTCATTAACCTTTCAGGCAAAGTACTCATTTACTTTCTGCTACATCAAATCCTGCAGCTAGTCCACTAATCTCAACTGGTGGTGTTAATTGTGCGAGTGTGGAGCATACCTCAAATATTTGCCCAGACGATACGTTGTCTGTTTTACCTACAAATGCTGATACTGGACCAATAAATCAAAACGCACATTCAAGCTCCAAATTTACGGTCAATTCTGGAAGTGCCACTCGTTCTACAAGTACAACACCACCTAGTACAGTAACGGTAGTCAATAATGGTGCCAATAACAAGCCAGCTGTGAATATAATCACTCCTTCATGTAATTATATTTTCAGTTTTATTAGATTTATTTAATACATTATTGCTGTTTATAATTCTGCAGAATATAGACCATCGACGTATTGTTAGCATACGATTATTATCTACTTCCTTTATCTCTTTGTCAGCTTGCACTTCTGGGTCGGAAAGTCCAGGAACTACAGGTACCAGTACAATAACTCCCATTTCACATGTCAGTTTGGCATCTACAAATACATATTCATCTTCAAGTGGAAACGCGAACGTGAATTACAATACAGCCCTTAATGCAATTGAAGCATCATGTCCTTCTAGTAATGTTGAATCAATTAAGTTGATGCGGAATGACCTTGTTCGTGCTTCAGATCGTCCTGGTAGAGAAGAATCTAGCCGGATTTTGGCTCGATTACGAGGTTTTACTGATGAAATGGCCACTCCAGTTGTTGGTGGGGGTGGGCTTACAGCTTATCCAAATGTTCCAGGCCAACGAACAAGTATTGATGCAGGTACCAGCACAGTTCGTCCAACTACGGCCGGCCAGAGAAAACCCATTCCTATCACTTCACAAGCTCTGGGTGCAAACACGAAATCATCACCAAACTCCAACTCAACTATGGGTAATATTATTTAGTTCTTTTCTGTTTAAGCTTCGTGTTTAATGTCCATCCCTTTTTTATGTTGTCCTTTTCAAATGTTACTACATTATTTAGTGGTACTTGTTACTCTCCTGATACTATACGAAGTTTTCATTTCAATAACAATAGGGATACAAATAATTTTTTAAGTTGACTAAACCTGTATGTTTCAGGGTAGTGATTTTTAAGCTTCTTATATCTTGACTCTACTTCAATCACCACTTTTATTCCAGTAATTTGTCATTTTTTCCTCACTGATAGGTTTTCTTTCCCTTTTGCTCCTGATTATGTCCAACTTCATCGGATTTTAGTTAATTATATTCACTCCTTTTATGTAAGAATGTTGTAAGCCTAATGTAAGTTTGTTACCATTATACGTACAGTGTTCCTGTGTTTTGTGAAGCTTATACCTCTAAACTTATAACTTATAACTCGAATCCCGTAACGTCTATAAGCTCACTCACTTCTTTCTGTGGTTTTTTAAAATGTACATTCAATAAATGGGAAAATGAAGTTGACAGCACGTTTTTTTTAAAGTTGAGAATGACTGGAATAATAAATATTTCAATCTCATTCACTTATCGTGGAGTCCCAGTTACGCGCTACACAGTATCACTCATTTTCCCTTACTGTTGTTTCTGTTTACTTACTCTCGTCTATACAAATGACAAATTGAATGTAAGACAATCATACCTGACCATAATTTTCCAGTTTTTTTGACTGTTAAAACAATTCAAAGCATAAAGCTTCCACCATATCTTTTCGTTTAATATAGTGATTGTCATCTCACCAATTTCACGGTTATTGTTACAACTATGTACCTATTATGAACAAGTCCCTTCATTTTCTTCCTTTTTTCTCTTATTTAGAACTGTCCCTCCTATCACATGTAACCATATGTTTTAATGATTTTACCGAAATATTGATTCCTATAGTTTTTTCTCGTTAGTGGGTTCTGCATTTTTGACTAGGACAATATTTAAGGCATGCTATTTATTTACTTATGATATATAGTAGTTCTTATTATTGTAGACTAGTTATAACCTATAAGAAAACGTCGAGTTAAATGAGGTTGTTTCGTTGTATAATCTTTATTGTCATTATTTTAGTTCAGATGGCCAAGAGTAAGGTTCAAAAGTTCTTAGTATGTTGTGATTTTATTTTATAGTTATATTATTTTTTCTCATACCCCAATTCTCATGTAATTTGTTTTCTGTTCACAAAGCACGCCGTACTCATACTATGAATTATGGGACAACAACCCCAACATCTGGAGATCAACAACATTCTGTTAGGCGCCAACCGATCAATACAAATGCAAGTGGACGCAATACATGTGTATTTGATAATGCTAATCCTAGGAACTCAGTCGCTCTTTCTGGTATCACTGGTCTTTCTAGTGGATCTGCTTTATCGCCTTCGTCTGATAAATCTACATCTGGGTCATCAAGCGGAAGTGGTAACAATCAAGTTACAACCAATGGTGCTGGAAGATTACCATCTCATGAAATTCGAAGGTTAGTTGTAAATAAATTATCCAATTCTACATTTTTTCACTTGAATAAATTAATTTGGTTTCAAGCAACAGCGCTTACTTTTCAGTGTATTTTTGTATTTAATGGAGCAAAAATATACTTCCTAATTGGACTCCTTAAGATATCACTATTAGCTTTAAGAATTAATCGCTTGAAGTCAGTCTCAATCGTTCGCACACATTCAGTATATATATTTAGGCGTAATTACTGAATTTAATAGGGAAATGTAAACTTTTCTTCTGCTTTCCCAAGTTCTTGCCTCTCAAAATACTCATGTAGTTAGTTAAAAATAACTGGGATCAACCAAGTCTGTGTTATTACCGACAATTCTGTTCAATCACCATTGATTATTGTATGAATTTCTTACTACTCTTTCTCAAACAAAAAAACTTACACTATTCAGTAAATGTGTGCTTCCTTTCAACATATCAACGTTTGGCATTACCAACAACAAACTTAGGTATGTGCAGAATATCACTGAAAAAAGGTGCTCAAGTACATTTTTTAATAATATAGAAATATTTTAGACTTCTTTAAAACTTAATATTGATTTGATTGATGTGTTTAGTGTATTATATTATGATGGTAATGTTAGTGATAATCGATCAAACGAGAGGATTTTTCATGCTAATTGTGTTTGTGTGTGATTTTGTTGTCATGTGATGATGTGTATAATTTGTAAGGTCATTATCTTTTATAATTCTTGCGTTGCGTTATACTTTACGTAAATCTGGAGGCTGGCGCACATTTTCGTTACATATATGCACATATTTATTTTATGGAGAACAAAATTTAGTTATATATATATATATATATATATATATATATATATATATATACTGTTCATAGTATACACATTTCATGTATATTACTAACAACTCGCCACTAAATAGAAGAGCCAAGTAATAAGAAATGAAGTTTGAAGCAACATGGTTTCAGAGTAAATGCATGCAACTCTCATAGTTTTACACCATTTATATTAATAATGCTTTAATTAAAATCAGATTAGTGCTGCTTTTCACAAGCGTTCGATAATTTTATGGGGGGGGGAATATGAGCAGATGTCAAATCCAAACAGCTGCGTTTATTTTACACAATCCATAAATTATATTAACTTAAAACAGCTGTTCTATGTGAGTCTTGTGTTTATTTGCTGGTCATCATCGCAATCTTTATTTTCGCGAACGCCTAAAAATTACCCGTAATGAAGATTAAATCTAATATTTTGGCCTTCGTTGTAGCTTGAAATATATAAAACATTTCCCTAATTAGCTGTATTTTCTCTAAAACTGCATACATGATTGGACCCACTGAAAATAGCTCTGCTATTTTGTTTTAAGTATTATTTACCCAATGTTACCTCATTAATATATGTGTTTGGTTGTGATTGTTCCTGTAAAGTTACCTGTATAATGAACTTGGCTATTCTCCTTATGCGGTCTTAGATGTACACCGTGTTATAACTTGTGCCCTGTGTCCTTATTAATGTATGACGTGATGATGCCCCCTGTTAGAGAACAGTGAGTTATCGATCGGACCAATGACGCATAAAACCCGTACAAGCAGTCTAGAGTCCTTATCGGTCCTGCTTACCGCCTAACCCAACCAGTTGAGTCCAGAACACTAATCTTAACCTCTGCGATATGAATCACTTATTTCGAACATACTGGGTTTATATACCAACCAGACAGACCACATCATAACATAAAATAGGAAACAACATTTGTACAAGATTTAGCCAAATGTGGCTGTGAATAAGGGAGATAGTAATTGATAGACTGGGTATAATAATAGTCCATAGGTCATTATAAAGCTTATGATAAGAGAAACACGAATATGAATAGTTTAGTCATTTAACAATTATACGATAAAAATATACGTTTAGTAATTGTGCAGAAATAGATCCCAATAGTTATTATTCATTATTCCCATCGGGATATAATACACCGCTATATTGAAACCATGAACCAATCTAAGTTAGACCACCATTGAATACCCGGAAGCACTGGATGGCTGTTTCGTCCTAGTATGGGACTCATTAAGAATCTTCGTCCACTACCCCGTGACGGAGACTCCGTGTCGGGTTTGAGGCAGTTACTCACCTATGACAATGAAAGATGGTCATGCGATGTATTGAATTGATTAATATTAGACATCAACACCATTGGATGCCGGTCAGTGGTCTAGTGGCTAACCGTTCGCGCGTGCAACCGAAGTTCCTGGGCTTGCTTCCCGGTTCCAGGATCATGGGTTCCCACTGCTGAGAAGTCCCATACTAGGATGAAACAGACGTTCAGTGTCCCTAGGTTTTCAATGGTGGTCGGCCGTTGATCAGTTCATGATTTCAATGAAATTCAACAATCTCTACAACCCCATACTAAAAGCATACTATTTTAACCTGTAATAAGCATTTTAAAGTTATGGCACTATATTACCAATATTTAGTGCTTATTGAGCAAATACGTCTACTTCATATAGTGATCTTAATAGTATGAAAAACACTCCCGTGCACTAATTGATGACATGATGGACTTAGTGTAAAGAAATTAGACTGCTGTACACTCGGAGTAGACTGTATATTACATATTTCTGCCCCACTGATTGCATCTGAGACCTGTCCTAGTCTTTTCACATATGTTCGTCGTTTTTACTGCAGAATTCGTGCGTGTACAAAGGTACTTGAAACTAACTTATGTTTATAATCACTGCCTATTTTAATATATAATTCACAATGAAATAGTTTTTTCTTTTCGATCTAGACTCACTCAATTCAAAGCTCCAAATATAGTGGAGGAAAACTCAGGTATGGTAAACCAATATATTGGTTTATACAAAATTAAACGGTGCCCTTGTATAATTTGAAAATCATACATTAAATAAGTCATTTAGATATCTTCCTTCAGTTGTCCTTTACATAGTCCATCATTCTTCCAATTCAATTGTTAATCAAATTGCTCTTTGTTTCCCTTCCTCTTCTCTTTATTTTAATCTTCTGCTGCTAAACATTCCACTTCTTATTCCTGCTACATACTACTTATATCTGTCCACATACGAGGTGCACATCACACAAGTAACGACTTATCGTAATTGAAGTATTATTTGATTCCACTCATATTAAGCAATCATCTAAAAGTTTAAAATGTATATTGTTTTACTTGATATGAGCAACGGATGTCTTGAATGTCAGGGAAATTTATCCTTTTCACGGATAATGTCCACTTGATTTTCACTCAGCATATAGTTCATTTGTAAATTATCAATTTGTTTGTTGAAATTATAAAATTCAATACTCATTCTTTTGGACAATTTCTACTGTAATAAATTTTTTGTGGACCACGTTGTTTTGTGAACTTTCAGCCATGTTACTCCTGCACTTGTTCCTATGACTACGCGTACTAACAAAGTACATCATGGTGCCAATATATCTAGTGGTACTGGCGGTGCTTATCATGCAGGTTTATTATTGGAAAGATCTGCAACGTTGAATACTGCAGGTCCTGGTACTAGTGGTAATGGAACTTCATCAAATCAATGTGCTTCTTCCACACGTGGAAGTGATGTAGTTGGAGCTGGAGAATTACATCGTAATCAACCTTGTGCCAATATTGTCGGTCGAAGCGGGTATGTAATTATTCTTTTTTCATCAGAACGAGGTTTACTTAAAATGTAATAATCTGAAAATGCTTATCAGTGTTTCTCTTAACTTTTCGATATCTGTAGATTAAGTGTCCTACCGACTTATTGGTCGAAAGTTCCTCTCCGCTACAATTAATGACATATTTCTTTCCTAATTATTTTGTATTATGGTTATTGATGCAAGCTGAATTTTCTTCTTTTCATAATAATGGTTTTGTATTGCAGAGTCAACGATTATGCTGTAACATCTTTCAATCGCAACGATTTAGCGTATAGTTCCCTTAGGTAGGAGTATCTCAATGTTGTAACACTAGTCCAATTAACTCACAATGTTTATGTTTTGTTAAAAAAACTAATGTTCTTGCCTTTTGTATCGTTATTTGTTGCGATAAAAATATTTATATCATTTTGGTGTATATATATATATATGTATAATTTTATTTTTGTCCATCTATAAGTATTTACTTCACCGTTTTACATATAATTGATAATCATATATTGCGTTTTCTTGTCTTGCTTTAACCTCCTTTCTTCACCTCATTTCGTTTTACCTGGGTTTTGATGCACATTTTACATGTTACGTTGTGGTCGGATTTCGTTTGATATAAATATTCATTTTATATCTTTCTCTTTTCACGTTAACTAATTTATTCGTGAACTTTTTATTAGGTGTAATAAATGAATTAAACAAATCTACCGAAATTAGTAAAACAAACTTTTATTGTATTTGAGACTTTCTAGTTTATTACATTATCAGATACTTTGATTCTTGTATAGTTACTGTATATGGTCTGATGCAGTTCTATAGTATTCATCTCTAACGTGCAAGTTAGGTTTTACAGTTATTATAAAATACGTACAACTTGGTACAAGATTATATTAGTCCAAGTTGCCACACTACATACAGCGAGGAGAAATTAACAAAAATTGAAAGCAGTTAATTGAAAATAGTATTTTTACCTTAAAGCAAAATAGCAGTAAGACTATAATTGAATAGTTCAACTTTATCATAGTTGCGATTACATATTCTATGTGTGAAATATCACTGTCAGCTCTCACTTGTTAATTATTGACTTGTAAACCATATATGATTTATTCGGTTAGTTGGAAATCCAAGCACTAGCTCTTGTATACATGAATATGTTCATGTATAAGATAATACTAGTTGACTTCATTCGCGTATTCTTGATTGAGTCAGGTGCATGGATTGTAACTAGTGTAGTCGCATTGATTCATTATGTTTTTGTAAACTTTAGATTTTCACGAAGACTGGTTATATCCTTCAGTCTCATCAATCATACTACTTTCTTTACATTTTTCTGCATCATAGCTAAGTTTATTCGGTATTTTTGACAATATTGTCTCTAATTAGTCCTCTACTATGTTAATTAGCTGCAGTCACACTTCCTTGGATAAATTTTTTGGTAAATGAATTGATTATCGTTAGAGGATTTCCGTCTGAAAACAACAAAGAAACACCTGTTTATCAATAGTTAACTTGATCTTGTCTCTTTAAGATCTTTGCGAAAATTGATCCTTTTTATCCTAACTAATAGAAGCCTACTTCCTGATACCAGTCGTACTCAACTCACTTTTGTACCGAGTGAGTACTGGCAATTTGATAAGTTTATTTCTAGGGTATTTAAAATGGAACACTATCTAGTATTCTCATATGTAAAATTGATTCTGGTAAAATGTTTATCTAATTTGTTTGTTCAACAACAAAATGTCAGTGTAGATACTACTACATGAATAGCTAAATTAGCTGTATTTTACATGAAATATCCTTTCATTTATAAATATGAATTTACATTGATCATTCTTGATACCACATAATTAGCTTGCAACAACAAATTCCCCACTACTTTTCTCCCGATTGTTCGAGTGATCTTACTTTATCATTCTTTTATAAGTGCTAAAATAATTTCGTGCTTATTTTCAAAATACTTTATTTTGGTTGGAAGCTCGAAACTGTTATGTATATTTGACAAAGGTTTTGATGACTTATCGATAACCTCTTAATCAATCACTAAAGACAACATGTTGTACTGTTTTTCCATCTTCCATGGTCAGTTACTGGAACTGACTCTAGTGTAGCGAATAATGCTGAAAAATTACTATCCTTTTTTTCTCTAAAGAGCCATAACCCCCATTTCGAAGAGGCTCTAAAACAGGTTTCCGAAAACTATCATCAACTCCCAAAGCCTGCTAAAAATCTACTTGCGATATCCAACTTCGGAACTATGTACTCCGAGCCGCAACAAAAGTAGTAACCGTCTTGTGTACATTTTCAAAGTCTAAGGTTTTTTTGTTATTGTTTTTGACAAATTTATGTGAGCAGCTTTCATTATTATAGCTTTAGATTTATTAGGAAAAGGTAATGAATCCGTCTCAACAACTCCCGCTTACGTTTTGATGCATAATGGTGTGTTCGTGTTTATGAGGCTACTTGTTCGCTTTCTAACTTCGGTTGAATACCCTTAGCACCATGGATAAAAACTTTTCAAAGCTCCGTAGTAACCGTAAATATTTAAGATTTCATTTTTCTATGCTTATATATACCTCGATTACTCACTTTTATCGTTTTTTATTATTTTTGTTGCTTCATAGTGTCGTTTGAAACTTGTCTATTGCATTATTAAAGTATATTATGTTATTAACTTAGAAACTGTGTGAAGTTCGTTTTAGACAATTTTCCACTTAAAACTCAATGGAAAACGAATAGAGGACAGGGCTTATGACATTCAATTATAAGTGTTTGTGAAGTATTACTCGGTCAAATTAGGGACTGATTCATAATTCAAGCGTGTCGATCATTAACTGTAGTTGTATTTATGTGTTCATTAGTTCGTCTTTCTACCCTCCAATATTTTTCCACTTCTCTCTGTTTCCTTAATATTATTAGAGACAATGTAAACTTAAACCAATTCACTATGGTTGGAGGTTCTCTGGTTTATCTTGTTGGTTTCTGGTAATATTTACCAATTATTTCGACACTTGCGTCGGAAATTATTCATATTGTCTTGCTTTTCAAAACGGCGATCACGAATTTTAGTTCTATAAGTTTCATTTCTACAGAGACTGATTCATGTAATATTTTAAGCTATTGAAAAATCCATTACACACAAAAATTCAACTAGCTTATTATTTTTAATGTCTTTCGTTGATATTACATTAAAAAAGGGTCGTTATTGTCTACCATGTTTATGGTCTATCAGATTGCTACAGGGAAATTCAGTACTTTTCATTCACTTTCTACTTCTTTTGATCTGTATCATATTTGAGTGTTGAAAAATTGTTTTCATTGGGTCCACAAGTTGTTTATTTAAGTTGTCGCCCATATGTAATTGTTCTTCAAATAAAACAATCATTTATAGTTGTTAATAATTGTAAACAGACTACTACTTTGTAATCACTCTTACGGCTGACTGATAATTAATCAATCTAAAATGAGTTTTGTTGCGAACTACACGATTCTTGTCATGAGTCAAACCATAATTGTTTAGTTTCAGTCCATGAAACTCGTCGGTGATGTTACTGCTGCTATGTATAGTTCTTTTGGTAAATAGAGATTGGTTTGTGCATTGATCTTCTCATTGTTTTCTTGCGTAGGATCAGTTTTTATTTATCACCAGTCATCATAATCTAATTATGATAGTTAAGTGAGGTTGTATGTGTTCCCGTTTTGTTATTGTGGCGATTTATAAATTGTTCTACTCCTACTGATAAACCATGGTCCAAAGCAACTTTCATTATGATTGATTCTTATAGTTAATTACAGCTTTACTATTTGTGATAGTTACAGAAGACTTCATCACAAATTGATGTCAATCAGATGTTGTATTCTCAAAATAAATAGCACTAACTTTCGATTATTCTATATTTTATTGGATTCAAAACATCTAGAGTCTTTCGCCCTCATTTTATTTTTTGCACTGGTGTTTTTTCCCCCATTAATTTATGTTCGTTTATATATATATATATATATATATATATATATATATATACATTAGTAATCAATACACAGTTATGATATATTAGTTTTAATTTAATTTTGTGTACTATTTTTTATTTATTGCTACCAAAATGTTAAAAAGAAAATAAAATTATGGGGAACACTTACACGTCTGTTATGATTATGACTGGAAAGTCTGTCTACATATATCTTATCAAAAGAAAACAATGTTATTTATAAAACTGCAGTAACCCAGGTATTATAAGTCTTTTAGTGATAAAATAAAGGGAAGGAAGCATAGCATTAAAAATTGTATCGTCTCCACGTGCTAACGATACGATAAGATAATCAGATATCTCATTGTCATCGATTTGTTTGAATGTATTTGCTATTCCGTTAATTGTTATCATTTAAGTATCAAACTCCCGCGTAGAAATCATTAAACTTTGACTTTTCTTTTGAATGGTAACTACTTAACTTCATTCATATCAATCATTATTTTAATTGTTAACTATTCATTTTAAATTGCTGTACCTTAAACTCATTTACTCTGTATGTGCCGACTTCACATAATTTAGACGAACCTAACAACTATTATTTTATTAGAGTAAGAAATGACATTGAGTTATTCGATGTTTTAAGGTACATGTTTGAGTACTTATAAACGCGGAATATTAAGTTTATCATAAAACAACTTTTTCCAGTTTGTTTTTACTATCAGTTCTTCTTTATATACAATGGCTTGTTGTCCTTTTTGTGCGTGGTCTTAGTGATAATCTGATTTCTTTTCAGTTCATTCAAACAATGAGGTTGATTTTATTTTCTATTTAGGTCAGTTTTGTGTTTATGTATTTGCACGTTTCTGATTTATATGGCTAGATGATAACTAGATTTTAAAAATTCTTACTTGACATTTTCCAGGGATAACGGATTTTTATTCAATGTGCAAATGTTTTCGTTTTATCAATGTCCGATTCTTAACACATTAGTAATGTAGTTCAATACTACCTTTCCAAATTATATATTTGATTTCCTAATCTACTATTTACCCTTTAATGAAAACAAATTTTTAATTCTGTTCCAGAGTGGGTACGTCAACTAACCAGGCGGGTTGTAACGCTACCTCTGTTGCCGCACGTCGTGTAGTTACAAATACCAATAATAACACGTCTTCTGGATTTAACAATGGTATAGGAACTATCTTAGAGACTACACCTTTCCCTAGGCTTACACCAGAACGTAGAACTATTCATTCAACAAATTCACCAAACATAGACTTTGATTTCGATACAAATAATCAAAATTCTAACAACACAGTCGCTGCTCGTTGTATTAATGTTTCACTTGCTGGTGCTGGGGCTACAAATAGTAGTGGTATGACTCACTTAACTCCTTCTGGCACTGGTCTTACCTTCTTCAAGGCACTTACTTCCAAAATCGGTCGACGGTAAGGTGTTCTCCATTCATTTTATCCTGCTGAATCATGTCGTTTAAAATTACTAGCTGTTTTTCCGGGTATTTAGTACATAATAATCTTACAGTATGATATAAATTTTAATGTCTTGAAAACTTACATATTCCACCTGTAAACGATTGTAAGGATTAAACTTAATTTCGTATCAGTCTCTTCAGTCACTCCTACCTCTTGGTTACCTTCTAGTGACATTAAACAGTTTTCATCCTCAACTATACAATAATGAGTAGTAAACTGATGACTTATTGATCATCTCACCCAACTTTAATCCATTGCCTCAGTATGGCAGCGTCATAGTACCAATACCTCGCAAGTCTGTTACCTCAATTCTATAGCTGTTCGATCGACACTAGCACAGAGTAATTAGAATACTTTATTGTAAGTTTTTCACATTTCTTAGTGTCAAGATGTGAACATTTCTTCCTTTCATCTAGATATGTGTATCTACTGATTACCTTCCACCTCGAAGTTGTAAATAAACTTGTACAACCTTGGTTGTACAAGTTTTCCATGGCTTCATTTTAGAATTTTGGAACTATATGATTACCTTACCGAAGAAATTATTTCATCTATCAGACATAGTAATTTGATTTAAGAAAGATTGACAATTACAACTCACTAAACATCCGAATCGAAAATCATCGTTTCTAAAATGAAATATCTTTCGACTGATGGATTGGTAGACACGGTCAAAGTCGGGCTAGAAACGTTGGATAATTCGGGTCATGTAGTCTCCTTCCTTAATAGAACAGCTAAATTTTACTGGTCTTAGAACTCGGCTCTTAATAATTTGATTTGTGTGCTTAAAACTGTTGGATGACAGGTCTTTTTAAATTCCAAATCGGGTAAAACGTTACCTGAATTTTGTGCTTTCATTACTTTTCAGTGATGAAATAAGTACTGTGCTTGTCTTATTTTCATAATTTATGGTTTAATAAGTCTCATAATGCCGTTTTTGCTTTTTAGTGGACCTAATAGTGGTGCAATGGGCAATATGTCTCAGGCACTTACTGGTGGCACTGATATTTCACATGTTCCATTCTCAACGGCGGATTCTAATATTGGGGCTTCCACAACCAGCTCGGGATCAGGTTATCTACCTGGAGATTCAGTTTTTTCTGACTCCAGTGTACATGGCGCATACACCGAACCTGTTAGTCAGTTAACACCTGGAGGAAGCTCTGCTGGTTCTCCTGTTCCTCAAGGCGGGAATCAAACTGTTCCTCATACTGACGATAATGTTAATGATCAAACGAAACCACGAAGTTTACGTTTCACTTGGTCTATGAAAACAACCAGTAGCATGTGCCCGGATAACATGATTAAAGAAATCAAGAAGGTCCTCACAGCCAATAATTGCGAATATGATCAACGTGAAAGATACCTTCTCATATGTGAGCATGGAGATCCAAGCACAGATGCGAATGTTCAGTGGGAAATGGAAGTTTGTAAACTTCCTCGTTTGTCTCTAAATGGAGTTCGCTTTAAAAGAATTTCAGGAACTTCTATTGGATTTAAAAGCATCGCTTCCCAGATCGCTAATGACCTCAAACTTTAATCAATAACACTTTCGTTTGCATACTGATCTGTTTTATATCCCACTTCAAATGAAGTTATTTACTTTTCTGTATACTTGAAGTGCCAGATTACAACTATGACTGTGAAAGATCTTGGATAATATTAATACATGCTCAACGGTATAGTTTTTATGCAGTACCTCTCTTTTTTTTCAAAATACTATGCTGGGTCATAATATCTTGTTTCGATACAGCCCACAATGACATGTTTTTCGTGATTTCAAGTGTGTTCTTTGTCTGTATGCGTTTCACATATACGCATTTGTACAGGCCTAATGATCACTTTACATGTGTGTAAATCTTTTCTGTCAGATCCTCTACATTGTCTAATTTGTATTGTAGTGGTTATTTCCGACCAAATTTTATTCAGACATGTTTGTACTTTCCAATTCTTTCTTTATTATTTCTTATATATTCACTCCACTCAACAGCATCATTCGTTCTTAGACTTCTGATAATGTCCTCAGGATTCCTTATCTGCACTTTTCTGTTAACATCTCTGATGAAATATCTAAGCACACTTGTTTATGTCATCTAAGTAGATTATGACCACCCCTGTTTCACTTATATGTATTTTTGTATTTCTAACTGTCCCGGGTGTTTCATTTTTGTTCGTTAATTTTATGTCTACCAAATTGAGCTATGGAAATTTATGTAAGTTATTTCTTAGTCTTTAGTGTAGTACCTATGTATTCGTATAGTATTGTTTTTCATTCCTTCAAAATGATCTCTTCTGTTAATCTCACTACATCTTTTCTTCTCATTTATCGTGCAGTCGTGCCACCTTATTTGAAAAGTAGCAATTTGTCGATTTTATTTTTTCAGTCTGTTATCATCCTCATAACACTATTTTCTCCTGAGGGTCGTCTATCTCTACACTTTCAATACTTCACAATAAAATACAATATAAGCCTTTCCTATTGATGCTCTGTTCCTTTCTGCAAGTGGATCTAAGAATGCACAGTAACTAAAATTATTACTTTTTTGCCTTTTACAATGCATGCGCCATCGCCTGTGTACACCGTTGATAATTCCTAAGGAAGCCATATAAAACGATTGTGTAAGTCCCGTATCAAATGTTTCATTTTTGCCTTCGGGAATGATATCAGTGTAATTACTAGATATTTGCATTCTGTTCCAAATTGATTTTTCTTCTTGGTTCTTTCGTTTAGTTTACCATATTCCTCACCAATATTCAATGTCATATATATTCTGTGAATAGATTTATTGCGTTCAATTAGTAACATCCTTAATTATTGTTATTATTAATGATGGTCTGTTCTTATTGTTTCTGAATCTCGCTGTTAATAATAGTATTAATAATAATACATATGACTAAGTAACTAAACACATTTCAATCTATTTGAACTCTAACATATACTCTTCCTTTCAAGTGCGTTTTCCCAAATGTACAAACCCTATACACACAAAAATTTGTTTCAATGTTTATATTTTGTTAACTTCCTTCTTTCATCTTTTGTTCGTCTCGTTTTTTCTTTATATTATTATGTATGTTTTCGATTTGTGATAGGGTGATTCCATTTAATTCTTTGAATACGTTCTGTCCTAGATGTTTATTCTAATGCAGGTTTCACCTTTATTTCGTTATCCAATGCAGTTTAAAAGATATTTTAATTTTCTGAAGTATTGACAACTATTTTAAATTCATGCGGAAGTTACTTTGTGATATTGTTGCTGTTCTCTTTTACAAAATTATGAGTTATCTTTTCTGCCATGAAACCTAGTTCCATAATGTGGTCTGATTTATTTCATACGTGGTTATACACTTTTCTCACCTGCAGTGTTTGTTATCTCGTGTATCTGTGTATATTAGTAACTTACGCTAAAACTTATTGCGCTAACTGTTCTTATGGCGGATGATACAAATAATAATAATGGGTTTTCGCCGGTGACTTCTTGCGAAAAGGATAAAAAGTAGCTTGCCTTCTTTAATCTTCGTACTGCTATGTTTCACCATTTCTATTTTGCTTTTCCTTAATTAAATGTACCCTCTACAAATTGTGTGCAAAATTCATTATACCTTGGTAAGGAGAAAAATCGGTTTCATTTACTTATGATTAACATTATGAAAAACTTTTATACGTAATAGATTATCTCTTCTATATCATGCATACATTTAAGTTGTTACATCCAAATGTTCGCTTATTCACTATCTTTCGTCTCTCTTAAATCGTTTGTGTCCCTCATTTAGTTCAAAGGAGTTGTTTTTCCAACTTCATCTTGTATACCTTCTTTTAAAGGGTATATTGACTTTACACACATGCAAACGTACGTTTATGTGTATGAATCATCTGTCTAACCTTATATATATATATCCTAACGTATTTATTGAGATTCTACAGCCACGTGATCATTTCAATGCACTCGACTGTGTAGAATTCCCACTACAGACAAATGAAACTAGTGTTTAGCAAATTGACTTTTTTCATATTTTATTTTTTTTGTTAGTAGTTCATTGAGTTGTACCTGCTCATTTTTATAGTCATGTTGATGATGACGATATTGACCATCCCGTTTTTATTACGGTTTTGGACGCTACTAACTCAAAAGTACGCTTAATGTCTTATTAATAAGTGAATAAATTACTACCATAATCGTGAAACTTTAGGTGACGTCTCTACTTTTGACAACTTAAGCTATCTTTATGCGGTTATTAAAAGGCGATCAATGATGGTGATCCAACTTGCACTGAAGTAACCATTGCACAGCAAAGATTAGCTTATTATAACTTATAGGGCAATTTAAAAAAAAGACAATTCTAAGCCTAGTCCATTTGACAGCTAAAAAGAAAATAGTTATTCAATAAGCTAACTATCAGAAGTATTTCTTGAAACCAGTAGTCCAAATATGTAAATCAAATTCTTGATGACATTTAGAATTACCGACATCATTTATGATGTCCCAGATATGACCTACCAATCCCTATATCTGTTATGACAGGTCTTTCTAACTCAGAATTTATCATCGCTTCAATCATAGAACAAATGTTTTGACGAAGAAAAATTTCGATCATACACTGCTTAAAACGACATTCTACACTCTAATCCAAAGTATAGATGAGTCATGTAGCTTCTGTTTATATAACATTTGTTTTTCGTATTAGGTATCATGAGGTATTCTTGATATTGAAGTCACCTATATTCTACTTACAGTGTATATTTTGTATCAGTTTTCAGTATAACGTAAGTCTACAAAATCTTGGGAGTTTTTGTGTGATAATTAGCAAGAAGAATTCACTATTCTAATCGTTCCAAACAAGTAAATTATGATTCGGAGGATCAAATAAAAACTTGTTATAAGCTATGGCTGCGAATTCAGTAGTCTAGGAAAATTTGTTTCCTACAACTGTTTGACGTAATTCATCCAAGTGCAAAGTTAATTCCATTCACGGAAAACTTTATGAAACTGTATTTCGATTGCTATTATGTTAAAATCCAAATAACGTCTTTCTAATATAGGTTAATAACACTAGATGTTTATTGCAAGTTCAGCTCCTTTCTGACTTCATAGTTCTACTTTTTTCCACCATAAAACTGTATAAGGTTGTAAAGTAGGATTAAATAAAACAACTTAAACTAAAGGAAATGAGGTATTGCTTTTTTGGATTTCTTTAAAAAAAAGTCGAATAGTGTCATTTTCCAATGGAATTTATGTTCGTTTTCTACATTTAACTTATGAATAACAGTTCATCTACGTAAATAAAATAGCGCACTTTCCAAGACGTTTTTGCTTTGTCCAACTAATATTTCGCGTTTGATTTCAAACTACTGATTTGTTTGATTTTCTTACCTAACCTTATGGACGACTGTAGCCTGTCAGTCAACTATCTCAGTGCAGTTAGTAGATACTGTCCATTGCCCAGGTACGACAGCTAACAGATGTTAATTTTTCGATCATTCTGACTTCAGGATCGTTTTTATATATACATAGTAATCCCAGTATAAAAAACATACTGCATATAAAATTCATATTTTTCTACTAACCTCACATTCCCAACGAAATATAGTTGAGAATAAAAGTTCCAATATGTAAACAATTTACAGAACCCAGATATACGTATGTAAAAAGAAATGAAAGACTAGATTTATCACCGAAAATTCCCACGATATCAAAATGATGTAGGTAGGGGAATTTATTAATGGATATTTTCCCTCTGAGTAATAGAATGACTTCAGCACAACATTCGTCTATACAGTCACTCAGTTGATGTTATTTCGCGACGAAACATTTTAAATATTTATTGGAAAACCAACCATCTTGTTCGTTAAACAATATCTATTCACAGAATACAAAAGAAAATCTGATAGAATAACAGCATTTATCTTCGCATACACTTTAAAATTCCTATCCAGACCCAGGTGACACTAATCGCTTAAGTCAAAAACCTATCCAAGGTGGAACTTGTGACGTCTAAGTTCTGTAGTAGCGACACAAGTTTTCTTCGTGTCTTCTGGTCATTAGTCTTTTTTATTTATCCTATCGAGTGAGTTTAAACTAATCGGTCGTCTCTTGCTGATTGTATCCATCTAACGTTGATTTTAGCTGAGTGGGAAAAAAATACATGGTCAAGTTGCATGATGGCTAGAAATATATCTTTCATTCATATGGATGTCACAGTATACTTAAACGAATATACCTTATTAATGTATTACGAAAATGTATGTATTCCTCCTAATTAAATGCTGACAAGGTGATTACGCAAAATAATGTGTATCATTGTTGTATTTTGTTCGATTGCCTTTATCCGTTACAGTGATCCTTCTGATCACAAAGAACAAATTTTTGTTACAGGAAGAGCATATTCCGTTGTTGGTAAAATCTTGTTGATATAAACTATCTAAACAAAAACCGGATTTCTGCATCTTTATTGGAATTTCATAGTAATGACTTTAAACCGTTTGTATTTCATTTCAATAAGCTGACGTTAAATTACTAATTTTTGATGTTAAATCACCCGTTCGTAATCTGTACTTGATCAATCGCGTAATTAAGAATAGTATGTCAATAACACAGATAAGGTGACATACTGAAGTAGTATTCTTCGTATTTACTAAGGTAATCGTGTATATGCATGTGTTCATTCAATAGACTATCAGGTGATATAAAATATTCCCAGACAGCGTTAGTCAATTTGTTCCACTATTATAAACAATTTTAAGTTATTTAGCAGTTAATTCACCTAGAATCCATTCACATCTTCAAATGTACGGCTCGTAAATTACTGTGCGAATATTGTTAATACCTAGGTTGTCGGCTGCATTTACCATAAATTACTATAAAGCATGTGAGTAAAAGTAGTCATCGCTGATAAAAGTCTAGAAATTAGAAACTTAATTCAAACTTTCAAATCTTCATGTCTTTACTTGAGTCTTTTAAAAACTCTATGTTATGTATCAGCAACGGAATAACGTACCAAATAAAAGTCAGTTTTCCATAGTTCTAAAGTATATAACTATTCCTCCATTATCATATTTGTCACCGACTGAGCGTCTGAAAATTTCGCTCTACTCTCCGAATATGATCACGAATATCCATGTATTTTACAGAGAAAATACTGGCATATATTTTAAGAATAGATTAAGTTAATTGATTTACAGCCTTGTCGAAAAAATAAATTTCATGATGCTGAAAGTTGTGCAGTAAATAGTTCAACCATACACTTCAGAGTTCGAAACCGATTTCGCTGTGTTCATATTTTCCCAAACTAAATTTCGACATTTTTTACGAGATTGATAATCCCTAACTTTAATTTAAATTGCTCCCACTCCTTTTTAGTTGGATGATTATTTATGATTCGGCAATTGGCTTTCATTGCAAGACAAATAATTAGAATGAATGAAGTATTTGGTTTAGTCTACTATAGTTTCTACTAATAGTAGTTTTTGTAACTGAAACCTAAACCTCCAGTCCAATTAGATATGACCTTAATGTGATGCATTTGATTTAATAATTCATTGATTACTTTCCAACCATCTAGATTGTTTTCATCAAATAGTGATAACATTTGGAAAGCTTGTGAAAACCAGAGAGATTTGCTCAGTTGTTATATTTTAGATTTTTATCTATGAAATTACTTTACCAAAACGTTATTAATCACAGAAAAACTACATCCATTTCATAGTTTAAGCCGTTCCATTTTGATTATGAAAATCTGTGTTTACGTTGATGAAGTTTACATCTTTATTTAACCTAAACAGAAGTACACGTAAAGTACCACATAATTCAGAGTCTAATAACTAGTTCATTAAATAACATTACAAAATATTTTCTACACTGAAGAAAGCTTTAGAATTTGTAGTTAGAATCAAGGCAAATCAAAACTGACTAGATTTTTGTTGATCACTCAGTTGCAATTTTAAATTAATATTTACTTGTACTTTTACAGTACTTAAATGTCACATATGAATTCCATTTCAGTTAAGCTGTAGAAAATATCCCTACAATGTAGCTAGCAAGCTAAGTGATTCCATGTACTTTGATTTTAGACATATAAAGCCAGTCATTTGGAATCCCTGGACCTAGACTTTTCACCGTCCCAGATATTTAAAACCAGATCACCTAGTGAATTAATCATCGACATTCCCATTCAGTTATCTCAGGCATGAATGACCCGTAAGACTGGATTGACTGCACTAATCGGTCAATGAACGATAGTGACCAATGTTGTAAATTCAAATCCAAAGTCTTATATAACCCAAAACTTATATCTAATAATTCCTACCAGTTACCTCCAATCATGTTAATTCACTATTATCCACATGGTTAATTGTTCACAACAAAGCAGCTAGTTGTAGTGATTCATTCATACTAATTCGTCTGGTGCCATTTGATGGTAATCAATAGCATCTACTTTCTTCTCTTTTTATTATCCAAAATAATCAATAAGACGTTTCAAATTCCTTCGTTAATTATGATCAACTTTATTAATTATATTAATGTTATGTACACATTATTTCCAGTATGTTGGATTGATTTCAACATTGTTTCATTTTCATTCTACAATAGTAATACAATTTTGATAACGTGATCAAAGTATTTATTGTTGTCTCGGTTTTTTTTTCTTTTTCATTGAATACATGTAAACAAACGTTTTTAACTAAATAAACTTGAGTGACATTTTCTTTTCAGTTTTACAAATACATGACATATATGCACGTTACCTGTGGTTAATGAGTTAAAAATGATTCACAATAATGTGTTCAGTTCTTGAAATAGTTCCTCTCATTTTTTTAAATATTAAAGTAATTAAATGCATCATTTGATAAAACAGTCACAAAAGTATTATAAATGATTTTACTTATTCTGATTTTTATCGATTGATAATAAGAAACCAAATCGATTTTCTGATAAACTAATAAATAAAATATTGAAAATCAATAAGTACCAGTGAGCAAATAGGATTTGTCATTCAGCATTGTATTCAATGAATACCATACCTTTTTTCCCTATTTCTTTTAACTTTGATTAAGATCAGACGGTAATTACTTTCCCTGTCCTATTTATTTACGAGAGTAAATCATATTTTTTAATGCATACATATACACACATTATACCTATATTTAGACTTTAAGTGACTAAAAATAGTCAAGAGCAAACTGTGATCAATAAATT